GAAAAATAAAACAGTGAGAAGGAAGAAAATTGATCTCCAGCTCCGTGCAGTGCCGGAGTTGGAAAAGAGGCTTTCGGAGCTTACAGCCTCATGAAATTGAATTTTGCAGTTTACGCGTTACTGTCTCTGCCCAACTGTTGCTATATTCTCAGCATTCGGCTCAACGACCAAAATACCATTTATCACACCAATTGTCAGATTTAACTTTCAAGTCTTCATACACGTTGCCTCTGGATCTCCATATAGTTTCCTGGATTTTTGTCATGTGTCTCAACCGGTACTGGAAAAACAACCAATATTATTACGGCGGTTTACGGCGGTTTTTGTACCTTATAAAAAGAGTTGAGCTGGTCATTCTATCTTATAACCAGCACATCCGCATCTATCATCGCGTACACGCATATTTGAACGTTTTTGATATTTCCTTCTTCCTTGCTTGGCATACTTCACCGAACAAGTGAACTTTTTACATCTCTAGGCTCCGCTAGAGAATAGGCTATACATACCAGTCTGTATATTAGCAATAAACTTGGGATGGGTATTTCCATAATTTAAGTTTATTTTATTATGCTGCATTTATATATATACGTCATGGGTTATCACTTTCGTCACCAGTTTGAAATGCTCTTTATATTTTTTTCCCCTCTCTTAGAGCGAGAGTAGGAGGATTCAGGCAACAACACTTCGCGCTTGTGGGGGGTTTAGTAGATTAAGTTTCAGGTACGCACATTACATACACATCGCTTCTATCACAGTTTCGTACGCGGAAACTAGCCGGGCAGAGGATACTTGGTCCTCGAGACCCCCGTCACATCGGGATCTGGGCTGGCTGGCCACAAGCTGGCGACTAGTGATGGACTGGAGGAGAGGAGGTTTGGAAGCTAGCTGAACGGTTGAGGGCGCGCAGTGCGGTTCGCGATGCGTTTGGCAGACCATGCCGATAGCGAGGAGGAGCAAATTATTGCTTTTTGCTTCTGAATGTGGTGACGTCGTTGATGAGCATGCAGCGACTCTCTAAGGGAGGGAGGGAGGGGGGAGGATTTGTTTCGCTCCTGGCTTCCTCTGTAGTTACGGTGGACACCTGCAATTCCGCCATAGAGGACACAGCTTTTTGCAAACTCCTCCATCATTCTAAACCCCATACTCCAGTTCCCCCCCTTCATCGCCTTCATCACTCAGGTAGAACCTGCCTACCGCAACCTGCTGCAGCACAAGGGCCCACTAGCATTGCTGTTACTGTCTCACTGGCACGTATATTTTAACGAAAATGGGAGCGAACAGGCAACCTTGGTGGTTTTGGAATCGCGCAAGAGTGGAGAATCGTGCTATATGTGCTTTACTGTACATCCCGAGAAATACACGGACCCGAGATGGGACGGCGAAGGAGCTGGAATTGGACGTTAGAGATGCGATTGGGGCCTGCATAGAAAAGCATAGTGGATGAACGCACCATGGAGGCGTTGATAAATTGGCCGAAAAGACTTTATTTGTGTAGTAATATAAAATGTGAATCATAGGTTGCACGAGTAAACAATCTCGAAATAGACACTCGTTTGGAGAAATCTGGAATCGCGACCCATGGCCGCTCCCACCTTTGTGGGACTTATTGAAACTGCGCTACTTCTTCCAGAAAACAATTGAAATCGCAATTCTGGATAATAGTAATAATAATTAACTGACAAACGAAGGAATATCCAATGCCACTTTGGAATCACTTCCACCATTCCACTCCACGGTCTGAAAAAAGCCCAATCATAACATGAGAGCTCACCCTACTCCGGAGCCTCAACTGGTTCTATATTCCATATACTATCAGCATACTCCGCGATAACCCTATCAGACGAGAAAAATCCCATCCTCGACACGCTCAAAATACACTTCTCCAACCAGCCATCTTGATCCCGATAGGCTTCATCCACCATATCTTGCGTCGTGATATAAGAATGGAAATCGTCTGAGACCAGGTAGTAATCTCCATGTTCGGTGATTGCCGAAATCAGTGCCGAAAATGAGCTGGCATCGCCAAACGTCCCTGACTTGATGGTATCAAAGACAGCGGTCAGGTCGTTACCTAGGGTGATGCTATCCTTCTCATAAATATGGGCATGGCGGAGATCTTCAACGTCTTCAGCGAGAGTACCGAAAAGGAAGATGTTTTGTTCTCCAATCTCGCGGGTAATCTCGATCTAGGGGTTATATGCATATGATTAGAAGTTGGGTCATTCGGAATATGATAAGGTGGGCTCACATTCGCGCCATCGCATGTGCCAATTATAAGTCCCCCATTAAGGACGAATTTCATATTACTTGTCCCGCTAGCCTCCGTACCAGCAGTTGAGATATGCTCGCTGATATCCGAAGCAGGGCAAATCATTTCCTTACTGACTAACGTTATAGTCTTCCACGAAGATGACTTTCAAGAGATCACCAACATCCGGATCACTGTTAACAACTGACCCCACTTGGTTAATAAGATGGATAATGGATTTCGCCATCCAGTATCCTGGTGCAGCTTTCCCCCCAAAGATTGACACACGAGGAACAAGTTTTGCTCGTTCCTTAGCACTCATTGCTTTTATTTTAAGATACCTGTGTATTACGCCAAAAATGTTTAATTGTTGCCGCTTGTATTCGTGGATCCGCTTAACCTGTATATCAAACAGCGCTTTCGGGTCGACACGGATCCCGGTGGTACTAAAGATATGGTTCGCAAGGCGAACCTTGTTAGCATGTTTGATATCCGCCCACTCTCTCCTGAACGATTTGTCGTCGATGTATGCCTCAAGCTTATCGAGTAATGTGAGATCCTTCAAAAAGCCGTCACTAAGCTTCGACGCAATGAGGTTAGAGAGGCGAGGATTGGCCTGATGGAGCCATCTTCTAGGTGTGATGCCGTTTGTTACATTCGTGAATTTGTCCGGCCCATATATCTCAACGAAATCCTTAAATATAGTCGTCTTGATGAGGTCGGAGTGTAGCTCTGCTACGCCATTGACTTTGTGAGATCCGATAATTGCCAAATGGGCCATTCGAACCATTTTCGGCTGAGACTCTTCGATTATCGAAACGTTCCTTAACAGATCACGATCCTTCGGGAACATTTTCTCCACCATTTGAAGGAAGAGCAAATTTATATCGTAGATAATTTGCAAATGCCTAGGAAGGAGGGTCTGGATCAGAGGAACGGACCATTTCTCCAAGGCTTCGGGCAAAACAGTGTGATTCGTATAGCCGAATGTGCTGGAAACGATAGTCCAAGCCGCATTCCATTCTAGTCCCTCTTGATCAATGAGGATTCGTTGCAGTTCCACTATTGCAAGAGTTGGATGAGTGTCGTTCAGCTGGATCGCCACTTGATCAGGGAACTCTGACCATGCGCGTTTAGTCTTTTTGAATCGCCTAACAATATCATAAAGTGAAGCCGCACACCAAAAGTATTGCTGTTTCAAGCGCAGTTCCTTACCGCGGTCAAGGCTATCATTAGGGTAGAGAACAGCCGATATGGTTTCCGCGCGCTGCTGATCGGTAACAGCGCTTTCATATTCGCCTGCGTTGAATTTTTGGAAATCAAACTCCCCACTGGCAGCCTTACTTGACCAAAGACGGAGATTGTTGGTCGTTGGTGTTGCATAGCCAGGAATGGGCACATCATAGGCAACTGCTTGAACAATTTCTCCGTCTTCCCAAGAGTAGTTAGTTTTCCCATTTTCATCCTGATATTTTCTAACCGAACCATAAAACTGGATATCAACAGTAACATCATAGCGAGGGAACTCCCATGGGTTGAAATCGAGCCAGTAATCAGGGACTTCAATCTGATAGCCGTTGATTATCTCTTGCTTAAAAATACCGTATCGATATCGCAATCCATACCCCCATGCAGGGTAGTTAAGAGATGCGAGGCTGTCAAGGAAGCAGGCTGCAAGACGTCCAAGTCCGCCGTTTCCCAAGGCTGCATCATGCTCTTGACTAATGACATCCTCTATACGAAAGCCAAGGTCTTTCAGCCCGTCTACAATAGTTGCATTAGTGGTGACCTTAGGACCGGGGACGGGTATCATACCTCTCGCAACTTGCTTCAATCCCACATTCAGCATAGCATTGTCCAAAGCTCGCCCCATCAAAAATTCAAGAGAAAGATCTACAAAGTCAGTAGAATCGCGAAACAGACTCGGGGGCTAAATACATACAGTAAACTCTCTTCTGGTCTACAAATGTCTGTCGCTGTTGAGTTTTATTCCATTCAATAATAAGTCGGTCACGAAATGCCAATGCAGTGCCAGAGTATGCCGCCCTATGGACACAGTGAGCTCATTCGAATTGGAATTGACATCCTCCTTGGGGGGTCTACGCAAAGAACCTACAATTCATCACAGTTGAAGAGCGACCGAGCAAGGGTAGTTTCGACATGGCGAACAACTTCTTTCTATTCCTTTCGTTAACAAGCTTCCAATACTCCAGAAAAAAGGTTGTTAAAAAAAAAATTTTTTTTTAAACAATACATACCCCGAATTCATCTTTCGTCTTGAATTCTTCTGCAGACTACCATAAGTCATCAAAGACAAGTTGTTAGTACTCATACCCCTATTTATCAAACAGGAAATATTTGAAGGCAAGGACAGTAATCATACAAACTTGCGCCAGCTACAAGTTCAAACAAAACATTAGCTTAACTTCCTCCTACAAAATTCAATGCAAAGCCACCTAGTAACAATAGGCAATTTTTCCGATACTAGAAAAGCAGCCCTAGGATGGGGGGTGTGTGCAGAAGCAATACATACGCTTCTCGCTGCGGTTCCGGGATGCTGGCTTCGACTTTTTTGATATCCTGGGGCAGCAACCCAGTAAATGTACGTTTGTGTTTCGGGCGGCTGAATCCAGGTCCAACGGGGCCCTGCAGATCTGATATTGGAGCTCCGATTGACGGACGGCGTTCACGGGTGGGACTGGTCATGACTGGCGATGGATGGGCAAGTCACAGTTGACTGACAGTGCGGGTAATTGGAGAAATTCTTCAGGGAATGCGTATATCTATCGCATATTTGAACATGTTTGTTAACTGGAACTTTTGGAGAAATTTGGCGGGGAAGATGCAATTCGCGGGGTGGTTATGACGACGTTTTAGCACAATGACGGCCCCGCAAGCAAGGAGGAGGTGGAAATGTATGATATGAGAACGAATGATGCGTAGAAAATAATATAGTAGTTACCTGTGAATAAAGAACGCACAGTGGATACTGGTATTCTCGACGACTGAGGGGAGATAGAGATTAGCAAAATAGCCGTCGGCGGAAGGGTTGTTTGTAGTTATCTGGCGGGGAAGTCAGTAAAGTAAGTCTTCCATCGCAACAGACAGTCAAGTGCGACACACCTCTGAAGTCAATCGGCCAGTTCCCCGAGAGAAACGGAACAGCAGAGATGGCGATATTTGAATATGAATGAGATGTTCAACAAAATATGGCTTCCTTCTGCAACATCCTCATCAGTCGCTGGAGGCGTATCTGGCGGGGCGATGGTACGATCGCATACCTGATTTGATCCCAGCAGAGAACTTAGCATCCCTTGGGAAAGTCAGTTGAGCCATTCCTGGTCAATGGCATTCCAAGTTCTGTGAGCGATGCGCCCGTAGAGTGAGGAAACACGTTCCAGAACCTATTGGCACAACTGTCTTTATTTACTAGTAAACTTCCTCGATCCTGGGAGATCCAATGGGGCGAGTGATGATAAACACACATGCAGTTTGATTTGCTAAACATGCTGCATGCACTAAGAAAAAGGTAGGAATTGGAAACGATATCAAAAAGTCTAAGAGGAGAGAAGTACTATAGAGTGTGCATGAAGGCGCTACAATATCTAATTGTCGCCTCACTTCATGCAAGCCCGTCTTGAGCTTCAAAATGAAAAGTACTATTCTTTTCAAAGGGAGCAAGGATCTCCTCAATAGGACCAGATGTTTTCTACCTCTCTATATTTATCCATCCGTTGCCCTTTTAGTCAATAACCGGATCATCCACCCTCACGTCTAATCAAGATTGGTCCCGCTTTCGTCACAATCTCCCCTGCCTGAACACTGCTTTGTCGTGCACACAGCTAGCACAAACCTTCCCATCCATCGTCAGAAGACTCCCTGTGAAATTAACGAACTTCTTTCCCGCAGCCACCAACCGAACCACGACCCTCACCTTTGTACCCACCGGTATAGGCCTCAGAAACGTCACTGTCAATGTCCGACTGAGCGTCGAAAGCGTCGGGTCGCTACCGGGAACTGACAGCACTGCTGCCGACGTTAGCACGTCCAGAATCGTCGTTGAGCAGCCGCCGTGTAATATTCCCAGCGAATTGCACATTCGCCCTGTCACTGTGAATTCGAATTCGACGGTGCTCGGCTCGACTTTGACGAGCTTGACGGCCTTCATACATGACGCATCCCAACTGGAGGTCTCAGGGTAGGCGGAAGCGGTGCTGAGGAAGGACTGAATCTTGTCCCAAGGGGTTTTTTCTTTGTTGGTACCCATGTTATGGAGGATTGTAACGAACGAACGTGCGTGTGAGGGATGATTCGCAAGATTATGTGAGAGGCAGCGGCAGACAGTGGGGCTTCGGATGCTTCTGCTTGCAAACTATGATAACGTTATGCACAGCCGCTGAGCCGCTGAAGAACGGGGGGGGGGAATGGGATAGGACGATCTGACATCAGAGCAGAAATTGAGAGGAGGGAGAGATTTGCGATATGTCCAGAATGTAGGGTTCTTAACTGTCCCAAGGCCTAGGAAAACAACAACTCAATGCCCAGCGTTTCTGTGGACACTCGTTTGAGGCCGTTTTTTATTCAACCGAGGCAGTTCTGCTCTCTGGAAAACGGTGCACGCACAAAGATATATATAGATAGGTTAACCGTGGGAAGCGCCCCAAACAACGAAAAAGGAGTCAGATCCATAAAAATCATAATTACAAAGCTCCGGTGCAATGTCAACCACTTCGAGTATGGCGACAATTGCGTCCAATGGCGGGGAGAAAGAGCCAAAGAGATACGTCGGAGTTGTCCTGTCAGTCTGAGTAGTTAAGCGCAGCATAGCCGACCGGTTATGGTTGGTTAGCCGAAGAAAAGGTAAAATGCGATTTTCCTTGTGAAGCCGTGAGTACAAATTCCGTTGAGAAATTCACCTGGCATCGCTGGGTTACGAACAATGTCAAATATATTGGAGCTATTGATCCGTATTTCTACATTTTCAACAAAGTTAACCAGCAGGCGCAGTCAGCGATACGGAGATGGTAGCCCCAGGCACTAGTAACATCTCCAATAAAGTTCTATATTTTTACACACAGCGAACACAACAATTTTTGTATATCAAAAAAATGGATAAAAAAGAAAAAGAAAATTTTATTGTTCCAAAGAAAAGAATTCCCTGGTGGCATTCGTATTAAAATATGGAGAATAATAATCTGTGGATAAGATTTTTAACTCCTATCTCTCCATATTTAACTAGTGGTTAATAGCAAGAGATTGGATATTCAGAGCCTGTTCGGTGGGGCAGTGTATACTCATTCTTTTTATACAGATCTCCACTTTTTTTAAAAAGTACAGCTCAATATGATGATCATTCAGTGAGCAGAGTGACTGTACTAATATTACAGCTTTTTTTTGTAAAGTATAAATGAAAAAGATCAGATATTCAGTGAATTGAGCAGTTATACTTACATATTTCATTAAAATCATATAAATAAACAGTATTTAACATCAACAGCATATGACTATGTAGAATAGTGTAGAATAACATTCATAATGAAGATAATTAATTAATATTGATTAGAAAGAAGCTTGCAAAAACACATTCTTTTTAAATGAAGTTCAGAATTAATTCAAAAAAAACACATTTTTACAAACTTCTTTTTTCATTATACAAAAGATTGATCAGTGAAGATTAATATGAAAAATAATTAATAATAAAATAATGAGATGAATAAACAGATTCTACAAATCATAATTCAATAATATATCAATTTTCATCAACAATTGTTTGTCAAAATAGCTATGAATTTGATGATAAGAATCTTTTTAATGTTATAAAAAAAAGTATTATATGAAAGATTTTTCATCAATACTTTGTATACTGTTCAGCTGCTGAATTCAAATACTCACTTTAATTATATTAAAAATATTATATATTTTTATTGAGAAACATTTATGCAATTCATTATTCTTCTCAAAAAGCATATAATTATATCTGAATTCAGCTGAGTTTAAAAGATTTCAAAGTAATAAAATCAACAATGAACAGTCAATGTTAGAGCTGATGTTAAAAGTTTTCAAAATATTTAAAGAAAAATCCCATTTAATTGTTCTATTTATCTTCACTGAGTGTCTGCTCATATGAGTATATATGATAATAAAATGCCTGATAAAGTTGTAAAAAAAGCAAATGAATTAGAAGTCTGCTTTCAAAGAATTGTAATATGAGCTTTTATTAAGAGAAAAATAAGAGAATCATATTTGCAAAAATGGTAAGATATCTGATTTATGTAAAGAAAAAGTGTGCATTACTTCAGATTTGAAACAAAGCCAAAGTGAAGGACTTATTCAATAAAGTGTAAAAAGAAACTTTTTGTTACAATAATGCAGTTGGAGCTTGAATATGAATACTTCAAATCATATTTAACAAAATTTAAAGATGATTTAAATAATTTATATTTAAATTGTTAATTATATGAAAATCCAGAGGATTTTCTGTTACTTTATATAAAGTATTTAGAATTGAAATTGAAATTGAAAAAGAAATTTGAATTGAAACAATTAAATTTGAATTTATTATTTAATACAGTAATTTAAAATATTTTTTTAATTAAATATTTGAAAAAACCTATATTTTGATGTCATTTTTAAATTTGTTTATAATTAATTTTAATTTGTTTTTGAAATGCTTAATTTATTTTTTATTGATATTATAGTTATTGTCAGTGGTTTTTCTTTTTCTTGTTTTTAATAAAGCTGTTTTTTTACAATGTTTATTTCTTTTATTTTCAAATTTAATTATGTTGATTTGTTGACATTCTTTTAATTTTGATTTTTTTAATTGAACAGTTTAAATAATTGTTTGATTCTGAGCTGAAATATTCTAATAATACATGTTTTAAATTGCTTTTATATATTAAATTATTCTTGATTTGAAAAATTCTGAAGCAGTTCAGATAAATGTCATAATCACTAACTGCATATATTTATAATTGAAAAATAATAATAATAATAATAATAATTATATATATTTTTAATTATTATTTAATCTGTTGATTGTTTGACAATCTATATGATAAGATTTCAATTTATAAATTTGAAGTTGTTGTCTGTATTCAATCCTTTCTTTTTCATTTTCAAGAATTTCAACAAGCAGAGTTTTTTCATTATGAAATTTTATAATATTCTGAGTAGTTTGATTTGAGAAGCAGATGTTTGCTTTCAAAAGATAATAAATGTTTAATAAAATGATGTTTTAAAATATATTTGAGAGAATGTTTGAAAAGATAATAATTGAGAACCCAATCACTGATTTAATGAAATTGAAATTGTAGAGATTTGAGTATTGTTATTTTTCACATTCAAATATTGCATTGAAACATCATACTGCAACATTCTTATTCACTGCTTTCATGAATTCTAAGCTAATAATGAGGGTTAAAATATAGACAAATCAATCATGGATTTGAGAGAATATGATCTCAACACATCTGTGTTGAATGTGAAATTAAAAAGCAAGCATGGAGTGATCTCAATTATGGAATAGTGTGATGGCGCAACACCGGCTTGCTACTAATTAATTGATAAATAATGCTATTTTTAATGAGATCCACTATTGCGTTCAAAAAGTACGGACGCACCGAACAGGCCCTCACTTGAACTCTATATGGATCTCGCACAGGCTAACTGCCACGGTGAGGCTAAACGCCAGACCTTTTACTTGTCCCCACCGTTTCCACCCCGCATCACGGTTAATAAATAATGCAAGGCGAATGTAGTCATGGAAGGATAAATCATCTCCCGTTTCCCCAAAGCGAAAAGATAAAAAGAGCTGGAATCTGGCGCGAAAATGAGCTCGTCAGGCAAGAAATCACCCATCAAGACCACGCAGACTTCAACATGGACATTGAGAGCAACCCTGAGACTTGCGACATTATATGCTGCCTGTGCTTCTCTTTTACTGGGTGTGGTTTTGCATATCAATGACTTGCCAGATGGTTTGCGTCTCTACAGATGGAAGACAAGCAATTGGGAATATCGCCGGGAAAGAGTTAAGGACGCATTCGTGAACAGCTGGGATGCCTATACAAAATACGCCTGGGGTTCGTTCTGATATTCCTTGCCAATACCTACCTGCAAGCTCATAGACTCGACGTGTGGACTAACAAAAGAATAAATATTCCCCATCCCGTGCTTCCTCAGGCCAGGACGAATTCCACCCAATCTCCAAAACAGGCACCCAAATGAGCCCGGAGGGCCTGGGCTGGATTATTGTTGACAGCCTAGACACTATGATGATAATGAACCTAACCACTCAACTGGGAGCCGCCCGCAAATGGCTCCAACGTAAACTTACATATGATCAAGACCAAGACGTCAACACGTTTGAGACGACGATTCGCATGCTCGGCGGCTTTCTCTCTGCACATTACCTTTCAGGCCAACTTCCAGGTGCCGCCTCTCGACGAGACTTCGTATATTTGTCAAAGGCGGTTGACCTGGCAGATCGACTTCTCGGTGCATATGAATCCCCATCAGGGATCCCGTATGCAAGTATCCACCTGCGGACAAAACAAGGAATCATTTCGCATGCTGACGGCGGAGCTTCTTCGATGGCGGAAGCAGCAAGTCTCCAACTGGAAATGAAATATCTCGCCAACCTTACCGGCAATGAAATATACTGGCGCAAAGCAGAGAAAGTAATGCAAACCCTTGACGACAACGTCATGGAAGATGGCCTCCTCCCCATTTTTGTAGACCCACAAAGCGGTCGCTTTACAACTAATGAAATTCGCCTTGGGAGTCGCGGTGATTCATACTACGGTATATTCCGCCTGCTATCCTAATCCTCACTAGAACTCTCAAACTGACTACAAACAGAATATCTCTTAAAACAGTATCTGCAGACCTCTGAACCGATCTATCTTGAAATGTGGTCTGAAGCCTTATCTGGAATCCAAAAGCATATGATCACCACGACGAAATATTCAAACATGCATTTCGTCTCCGAATTGCCCTCTGGAATTGGCGGTAAACTATCCCCCAAGATGGATCATCTCGTCTGCTTCTTGCCAGGAACAATTGCATCAGGTGTAACTGGCGGGCTCACAGTAGCAGAAGCAAAAAAGAGCCACGGTTGGAGCGACGAGAAAGAGAAACAGATGAACCTTGCCAAAGAACTTATCAAGACATGCTGGGGCATGTACAAAGTCACGAAGACAGGGTTGGCTCCCGAGATCACCTGGTTCGATGCGGACGATGCGGACCTCAAGCCTGTTCCGGGAAAGAGTCGCCTTCCTCGCAGCAGAGATTCCATTTCCGGCTGGAAGCAAGATTACATTGTCATGCAGCTTGATGCGCATAACCGACAGCGTCCGGAAACGATAGAAAGCCTGTTTATGATGTGGCGGATAACTGAGGACCCCATGTATCGGGAATGGGGTTGGGAGATATTCGAGGCGTTTGAGAAATATACCATCCCTTCCCATGGGGAAGGGTATGTATCTCTTGGCGACGTAAATAGTATCCCACCTACGACCAGGGATAACATGGAGAGCTTTTGGCTGGTAGGTTCAACAGTTATCTACCAGCAGCAGCAGCAGCACCCTTAGGATACTTAAAATAAGCAGCTGAGTTACTAATCTTCTTTTTTCATCCAGGCTGAGACTCTGAAATATCTCTACCTCTTATTCTCGCCAAGGGAACTCCTCCCACTCACAGAGGTGGTTTTCAACACAGAAGCTCATGTTTTCCCCCGGATCAATTCCACGAAGTTTCGAACAGGATGGGCAAGGAAGCCAAGACGGCATTGATTTGAGACAACTTGACTACCGGCACGATTCGTTAGAATTTATACCCCATTTTGTTACATGTGTACACAATTAGACTCTTAAGTTAATGAACAGTGTCTGTCCCTATGAGGATATTTCACTCTTCATTGAGAGGGATTCAAATGAATATATCTCTTTCCCCGGTCTCGGTTTCAGATCATTTCATTTTCATTTATTCTCCGGTTTCAACAGGAGCTCTCATCACCAGATTATCAATCAGTAAATATTTGGTAAATGAGAATAAAATTTTTTTGAGAATGGACTCCCAGCAAGTCAGATCAACCCAAAGGAAAATACCGTAGAATGCAGGACTTGAACAACCAAGCTCGAGGCATCAATTCTCTTAGCCTTCTCTAACTGTTAAGGGCTTGCCTCTTTTTCGTTCCACAACTCCGTAAATAGATTATCTGTATTTAATATTATACACTCTAATAATATGACACTCTCGTTTTCCGTTTCCCCGGCACAAATCGATGGTTCTACGGTGGTCGGGCCGCATGGATGGTTAACTAACCAAGCCCACTTTTGAGGTTGTGATTGATCAAAATCAAATATGCTGAGCATCAACATGGTTTGAATTGGACAAACGGGGATAGAGTTTAGCCCCTTAAAGGTCCTACCCTTTCCTACCCTTTCCTAGGACTTCACAATCCTCTACAACATTGTAATTCCCTCCCCTCCCCCCCCCCACCCCCCCCAACAAATTTTATTTTATTTTATTTATTTATCTTAATTTTTTTTTTGTATTTTTTTTTTTTTTTTTTCAAAATTTTTCAAGAAAGCGCACAGTCGAAAGTCACATTTTTCCCCATCAACTGGACTAAACAAGCGGTCAGCTGGGCCTGAGCTCAATTGGTCAGCCACAGAAAAATAACACTCCTATGGAGCAGTTGACCCTTGTGGAAAACATTTCTACCACCGTCAACGAGTTCTTCCCCATAAAACTCGGACCAGGTTGGTACCTATAAGCTAGTAAAACCCTTGGGTTCCGGGCTGGCTTGGGAGTTGGGTAGGCTGGCTTCAAAATTTGTTTGCAGTTCATTCAGTAATGAAATTAGTAGTTAATAATGTGTTTTAAGAGTGAAGAAATTGATTGAGCTGATTTAACTGGGTCAGGAAGAAAAAAGAGATGTTTTTGATAACATTAGCCGATGCATGCGTCTGCTTGAAAATGCCAATAGTTCGAAGATATGCAGAAGTAATAAAAAAAACAAATCGCGTAAAAATTCTTCAGAGAATGAATGAGGGTGAGGTGGTCTTTCATCCCCCCAACAGAAAAGAGCAAACAGCGATATTATGCGAAGTACTCGAGCCCGAAGAATAAAAGCTGAACAAAAGAAACCAAATTCTAATGAAATGTATCTATAGATGCAAGGAAAGGTAAGTGTGTTTCTGGCATTAGGTAAAAAATCAATACGAATACAGACACAGCACATCCATTAAATGAAAGAAAACCCAACTGTTGAAATGCGTCGCCGAGGGAGAACCAGAACAAAATGGAAAGGGGGGTGTGTAACCGAAAAAAAAGTGACGCAGGGGGGAATTAATGCTGAAGGTTTACCGAGAAGCATTAAGCCATCCATTACCTTCACCTATCCAACAAACAAGGTGTTACTTCTTCTCCGCCTTCAAAGCTTCCGTAGCCTCACTATTCGACGACGACTGGGTAGGCGCGGACAGGTCCACGACCGTAAATGGATCGCAGCGAACCGGCTCATCGAGATTCAGTGGTGAAATTGCCGGCTCCAGAGGCTGGTCCTTTAGCTGTTGTTTATCAGCGGCGGTGAGGGTTGGTGGCGAAATGGGCGCAGATATGGCCATCGACGGTGGGACGGAATCCTTGTCTCGCGATGGCAATGTAGTTGGTGGTAGCTTGGGTGGGGAAGGATTATCTGTTGAGCTGACAGCAATGGCATCGTCAATCCTGGCATTGGAATTAGTGCGATTGCTGTCGTTCTCATTATCAGGAATACTAATATCCCTTCTGTTTAAATCTCGGCTTCCTCGAGGTATCTGCGCACTGCTATTGTTATGATTAACATTATTTTGAATATCCGGATCGAAGCTATGAGTGCCGCTGCTCTTCCATAGTAGGTTTCCCCATCCCTTACGGCTAAAGCTCGAGCTAGGGCTTGACACGGAACCACTAGAATCGTGTCCTTTGCCCTGTACCCCCTCGCGGTTTTTTCCAGCCAAATCACCCGGATAATTCGAGCTCTGTGTGGTAGTTAGGGATAAGCTCTGAGGAAAAGCCAATGGGGTGGTCGATGACACCGGGCTATTGTTGCCGCTGGCTTTCTTCTCTTGCCATTCCTTTCTCCTATCGTTTGCCCACGCGCCCCAGGAACTAAAATAGGAAGACGCACGTTGTCCCGCCGCAGCGACGGTCGCTTGTGCCTGTGCAATGTCAACTACTGGTGCTTTTCTGGCGCCGAATGACCATGGTCCTGCACCGCTGGAGGTTGCAATCGTCGAAATCGATGTTCTGGGAGATGATATTGATTTATTGTCCACCGACTCAGACCCAGCTAATTCTTCGGAGTATCTCCGTTGTTGCTCGTTTTTCTTGCGCTGGTTTATGTCAGCCCAGAAACTGTTGAATGCAAAGTTTACTCTCTTTTGGCCAGTGGCCAAATGCTTGTTGAGAGCTTCGCGACCCTCACGAACTCGCTCATCCAAGTGCAACTCGGCTATTTGTTGGGCAAGTCGTCGTTGAATGTCATGAATACCCAGGCCGCCAGCGCAGGGATGGCGTGGCTCAACAATTGAGAACAAATGAGAATCAGATGTGAGCCGGTGGAACAGAGCATAGTTCGGCGTTGTTCTCCAACGCTCAAGGAAGTGTGTGCCGAACTCAGACACTGGGTCCCCTTCAATATCTAAACCTGGTGATAAAGTTCCCGAACCGCATTGTATTTCATGATGGAGCTTTTCGCAAGAGAGGAGGGCTAATAGATACTCTTCAAATTGAAGACGGATGAATTCTTCGGAACCCAAATATCCATGGGTATTAGGCCGCTCTGGCTGGGCGTCATCCCAGGTTTCATAGATGCTTTGTGTGAGAAAATCAATCCATCGCCTATCAGCTGCGGAAAGAGAAAGGGCAGATCTTAACGACGGCGAGGAGATGTTGATCGTATTTTCGTCGAGCTATGGATTTCCCACGTCAACAAAAACCAATAGTTTTATGTCAAATATTTGCGACCCTTACATTGATGAGAATATCACTGTATCGGTCCTTCTGCTGCAACAACAGGGAATTGGTGGATCCAACTACGTATGACTTCGTACCGTAATCGGCAAGGAGATCCAGGCGCTGGAGAGGTATATAAGGACCAAACATGCTTCCCTTAACAAAAACTTAGAACTATCCAATCTATTAGTGGAAAGGTCGGGTGGATTTTGAAGCAAACCTTGCCGAAGATCTGAAGAGGTAAACCCATATATGCCAGCACTAATAATCTGTCAATAATCGGAAATACATACGACCAATTGCTGAGGTGGCTTACATGAGCTCCTCTCACTAGTCTTGAGAGACGTAGGTTTCACAGTAGACTCCCCATAACTATCAAAGGACGGATCCGCGCAATCTTCAAGGTGATGAATAAGTCCAGGTATCAAAGAAATAAGCGAAAATTGGATCATGCAGAGGCGTTCGCAACGGGTGCCAAAGAAAAGCATCTAGCAGACTGTAAGCTACATGTTCGGTGACTTCCGAGGGGGAACCAATGTCCATTGCGTACTTTTGGTTGAAGTAACAAGCACTTAAAGAAGACCAGAGTCTGATGTTTGAATTCATAGATTATCTCTCGTAACGAAAGGCCTTTCCGCAGAATATTAGCAAAGTAAAAGGAAATGAACTCCACAGTATCTTACCCAAGATCCCATCCTGTTGGCCTTCATCATTATCTAAACTTTCCGCCAGGCTTTCTTGGAATATCTGGACAGCAGAGGACTTAAATGAGCGACGTATTCTACCTCGCAATGGACACAAGTATCAGACACATACCTTTAAAATATCCGTATCCGAGAAATCCCTAACAATCCCCAATTAATGTCAGCAAAAGGAGAGGACAAAATAACAACAAAGACATCTCCCACCCCAATCCTCATTTATAGCCAATTTCGATCACACCAACACCAATCAACCTTTTATGTCATCTTTTAGAGATCCACCTCCATGAACTAACTGTTCCAACCAAAACATACCTCTGCGCAAACCACGCGGATGTAACAATAGATAGCTTCTGTCTCAGCTGCCCGAAATGCCTGGGTTCATCAATCACAGCCACAACCGCTTTCTGGACCGTTGATCTTGTCACTTCAGGAGGTCGATTGATCAGTGATGCAGAATCTATCTGGCGTGTGCATGATATTCCGAAGAGGGAGGTCGCGGGCTCTGAGTCCAATGCGCTCTGCTGGAGTGTAAAGTACGAGAAGTCCTCGGTGGAGCTGGAAAATAGAAGTTAGTATCTGGGCTTCAGTAAGAACACAAAGTTTTGACAATGCGTGAGAAGGAGGGTGCATTTTTTGGAGACGTACGCATGCGCTCCATCTGACAGCGCCATAAACGGTAATAAAGACCAATCATTCTTTGCAAGGACATCAGCTCCCTGCTTGCAGAAGCAGTGCTCAACCTCTGGGCCTCTGCAACATTTTCCCGGTCAAGTTAGTACACAATAAGAACACAGTGTGGAGATTTTCAAACGGAATTTGATGCACATGTAAATATGTAAATTTTGTCTCCCAGATCGAACTCACTGCATAACTGCACGTTAATTGAACGACCGGGGAGACGTCATACAGGAAGCTCACTAACCTGGCATGATGAAAATCTATAACCAAGATAATAGGTTCGCGATCTTTTCTACGTCGCATTTTATATACTGCTTTTGACCCTTCTTATTCCCCAAGCCAAGCGCCCTTCGTTATCCCTTCCCTAATTTTTTCCTTATTATCCTTCTCCGGCACTTTTCTCAAATCGGGGGATTGGTGGTCGTCTGATTGGGCGACAAGGGTTTGGATAGGAAAGGAGAGAAATTCTTGCAAGTAAATAAAATCAAGCGAAGCATCAATAAAGAGGCGTATTTTCTATCTCATTGCGGGGTCTACCCTCAAATGGTAGAATGATGTTGCTGCTGCACATGTTGTAGGCTGGGATCCATGGATTGGCTGTCTGATAAGATCACGTGGGTAAGGTAGAACTCAGACGTATGTACAGAAGTACAGATCTGTACAGAATACGGAGTATTTAAACGTTATCTCAGCGAGCTCAGACCCTCTATGGCTCCGGTTGCAGCAGCATGACACTAAACTACTTTAATTACAAGTCATGTGCTCAGAGCAATTCTTGCCAGAGGGTCTGAGAAGAAACAGTTCATTCTTCTGTGGAGATTGTTGAGATTTTCATAGATTCTTCAAATTGTTCAACTTTGACTTTCAATTACACAATCATCATACATATTTGATATTTGTGAACCACCTTAGCTTGTAGCTAAAGAGAAGAAGAATATAAATATATAATTTTTATATTAAAAAAATCAATATTTAATATAGATGTATCTTGTTGAAAATGATCACTTTTTTTCTGATTGAAATCAAGTAAATAGCAGATTGTTCCCGTGTTTAAAAAAAAATGAGTTGACTTTGAGGTGATACTTCATATCTAAGAAATGGGAATATGAAAATAAAAATTGATACCATCGCGAGAACATTGATTTTCCTAGGTCCCAAGGTGGTACAGAGATGCTGAATAGATGGAGTTGGTTTGGTATTCTCACCCATGCCTAAGGTATAGAGCAAATCGTTCCCGTGTTGCTAACAAACTGGAACCGTTTTTTCTCAGACGCTTTGCAGGATAATTGCACATCACAGGATCAAAGACTTATTTGGGTTAGCTCATTACCAATTTGAGATTAGCTTGTTTAAAAGAATGACTAATCATTAAATCAGTGTTAAAACAGCAATTATCCTGCGAAGCGGCTGAGCTTGCTGAGATAATTTAAGCGCTCTTTTAACGTACAAGAATGATCCGCCTTATCTCTATTAGTTTCAACTAAAGAATATGTACCAAAAATAAAAAGAAAATAAAAGAAAAATCCTCCATTAAATCCGGACGCTTTGGCAGAGAATGAAATGATCGTTTGCTTCTTGATTAAAAGGAAATGAGAGTGAGAAACAGAAACAGCAAAAAAGGAGGTTGAAAAAACATATAGCAAGCAAACAAAAACGGGCTATATCCCTTTTAAGGTGTCGATGTAACAACCGTGGCTGATAATGCGAGGTAGTTGTTGCTCTATTGAATGTTAGAAAGTAGGATAGAAAGAGGCCGGACCAACAAAGAAAGGGGGTCATAAAGACGTCGAGAGGATAATGAAGGACGAGGGGATTGAATAAAGAGCAAAGATGAGGACCGCAATGTGGTAATCCCTCTAACCACGAAGTAATTATTCATCCGCCTCCTTATCCAAAGAAGTTATCAACCAGTCCGACCATTCCACAATTGAAACACACTACGTTGGAAAGAAGAAATGGGAAACCCTAGCTCCTTAAGCCACACAGAATTAAACAAGATAACAAAGACAAAAAATTCCGGTACCGATGTATGACGACACAGAAGTAAATATGTGGCAATGACACTTGGATTGGAATGTATGCGCATGAGAAGATTCATCCATCAAAGATTTATTAAATTGCAGGGAACCGAAGTCGGTTATGCAACGGAATGGTATGGATCATTGGAAAGAGCGAAAAGAACGTTATCATAGAATTTTGTTGTGTGAGATTGTGCAAAGGTATAGCATTTGTGAGGCCTGCTCGTGCACACCAATGAGTGTATAACGAGATTAAGGCGCCACGGATCCCGTTAAAGGTGATAGCCAGAGGCGGTACATGCAGTAAGAAGAGGAGTGATGATGACTAACTGTGAAAGAGCAAGACGACAAAAGAAGGAACGCAACGGCGTGAAATTTCTCTTGTTAGGTATGCATTGGCTCATTCCGTTTGGTTTTTGTTATTGAACACGGCAGGGTGTATATCAATAGGACTCGCTGGGAGAAAGCGGTGATTTCCGACTCTCAACTTTCAAATATATAGATATTTATATTTATATTTAAGTCGGTATTCGAATTTTATTCTCTCACATTTCAGTCCTTTTGTAAATTAAGAGACGACCTGTTGGGTGGCGCCTTCTACGGTGTCGGGTGGCACTTGATTGTTTGGATCGTGTGCTACCTGGTCAACATTGTGGTAATCGAGGATTTCAGAATACCTAAATATCCGTCAATGATCAGTCGGGTTAGTCATCGATATTCGCTGGCTAAATGAAATCACGTCTTCGAAAGTAGGTTATTTGATGAGAATTTAGACGAGGGGGGGATCTGGGCATTACATCATGATCTTCCAGGTATCAACAGGGAGGTCGGCATCATTAAACGACCAATCAAACTTCTCGTCAGCCACAGGCTCGTCAGTTGGGTCGTGATATGGTGCTAGGTATTCGTGTGCCAGAGAATCACCCGCTGTGATACGTTTCTTCGGATCAAATACTAGCATTCGTTCGAGGAGATCGATGGCTATTTTGTTGTTGTCAATCAGTATTCGTATATCTTATATCCAGTGGTCCCAACAGCATCTGATGTGCCGGGGAGAAAAAGCTGTTCCATACCAAGAGGGTCTGCGTTCTGGAACTTGTTGCTTAGGGGCTGCCGCTCCCGCTTCGGCAGGGACTGGACAAATTGCAGAGTCTATATTCCAGTCAGATATTTTGAAGGAAATGCAAAATTTATTATTAGATCTTCTTGGATTTGCGTACATTGACACTACAGATGGTTTCGATCACATCATCTGGAGGAGTGCCTAGCAATTCCGTGATGATAGAGAATTGATTCACATGGTCTTTCCCCGGAAACAGAGGCTTGCCTTCTAGCATCTCTGCAAAGATGCATCCTGCGCTCCATACATCTACCTCAACATCGTACTTTTGCCATGTGAGCATAATTTCGGGAGCACGGTAATATCGCGTCGAAACGTAACCGGTCATTTGTGGGTCCTGAATACGCGCAAGGCCAAAATCGCAAATCTTCAGGTCGCAATTCTCGTTGATAAGGATGTTACTTGGTTTCAGATCCCGATGAACCACTCCTGCTGAGTGAACGTATTTCAATCCTCGCTTTGCAGGTGTCAGTGAGGCGTTTCTCAAAACACATTCATTTATCGAATAGTTGTGGCTTTGCAGAATGAGGATCATGAGAAGGAGAGCGTACAAGAATCTGGTACAGGAAGTATTGAATGAACTGCTTTTCAAGTGGTCTTGAGGTGAGCAATCTATGTAAATCTGTCCCGAGCAGCTCCGTGACAAAGTATCTATTATAACCAAGTGGGCCCATTAGCAATTGTCCAATCTGGACTCCAAGGAAGCCGTTTTTCATACATATCCTCAAGTGGCGAAATGAAAATATCGCTTAAACTGATAATCTGTGAAGATGTTAGAGTATAAAATACGTTAAACCCTGAATTCAAATTGCACAAACATTTTCATGCCGCAGGTGCTTGAGTAACTTCAATTCTCTATATGTTCGTTTCGCTAGCACCGGGGTACTAAAAGGTTTCATAATTTTCTTCACGGCAACAGCCTGTCCCGTCAATTGATCCTTTGCGGAGCTATACGGCAAATGTCAGTAGGTGCCCTTCTATGTCATTTCAGTTGCTATGCCAGGAAAGTTTTCCTTAGAAGCTGATCTATTTTTCCTTCATTCAACTCTTGTATTGTGAAGTATGTGGGGTGGAAGAGAGAGGGGGGGGGGGTGGTTCCTGAGTACCAGACGAGCCCAAATGCACCCATTCCCACAGGTTGGAGGTCAGTGTATCTATGAATCAGGCCTGTTAGCATCTCTCCCCTCCGACCAACTGATAATGACGACCAGGCGAGCAACATGGTGGTTCCCTGCATACCTGTTTGTGATCTCGAAAGTAGTGCCAAAGATCTGAGCACGAACAAACTCCGCCATTTTAAACTGGTCCATAGTGGCGCCCAACTCTGAGAAAATCAACCGGAGTAAAAGGGAAGAAAGAAGAAACGTGAATAAAATAGAAAAAGATTTGGAAGTCGATTTCTTTTTCGTCGCAATCGTCAGGAGTGAAAAGGCCAAGCAGCCTGTATACCTTGATCGGATTCCAGGTGCGAAATAGCAGAGGGGCTCAGAGATACTGTGCTGGAGACTTAATGCGACCAAATTTCGTTCACCCACGATAGAGTTATCGACTCGCAGAATGAAAGGTGTCTAGTTATTCCTGAGAGTGTTGTGCTGAGAGACAGCGACTGAAGAGTGGTTCACGGAAAGGACAACGAGAGGTTGCGTGAAATTGAAGACTAAAACGAGTTTTTGGCCACGGCAGAAAAACGAGGGGCAAGTTCAATAACCTCACACCAGGGAACGCCGGAGTCAAGTAGCAACACAAAAGTGATGGGATAAACTACTAGTAATTTGGCAGAGAAAAACACACAATGCTACTAAGTAATGATCTAAAGAAATAAAAAGACAAGATCATGTGAAGGAATGCGAAAAAGGGCAAGTCTACTCCGTACAAGCTCCCTCAAAATTTTGGTGCAACGAAATTAACTACTATCGCGACCTCATTCCGTTCCAAAGAGATAAAACCTTCCGATATACCCAAGCCAAAATCTTATTCGAAAGTTACCATGCACGGCTGCATCGCAGAGAGCCATTATTACTGCTAGAATTCAGACCACAGATTATACACCATTTTCCAATGTTCAACATGAGATTCAATAAAACCACCGTTGCCTGCCGCTGAGTCAAGAATTGGCGGCATGAGGTTTACAAGTTGTTATGGTTTGTCCCCACGGGAAAACCAGCCCATTCCGTGTCCTATAATGATAATCCCCAGTGAGACTCGGTTCGAAAACCAGGTGATGACGACGTTGCTATTACCATCTCCAATTTACCATGCCGTGTTTGCTGAGACACATTAGGGTGCCGGTTTCATAGTTTTTAAAGGAATCTCTGCTGTTTGGCTCCCTGAGGTCCCTGGGTTTTCAGCAAAACCAATGAGTAAAGGAGGTTTCTCTTGTTTGCTGGTCTTTAGACATGCTACAGGTAGGACTGACAGAACCTCAGAAAATGTGATAATGACCTCGCTGTGGAAACCTGTCAAGGGGAACAATCCTTTCTCTCGTAGGCAAGTATACAACCAAAGTGAAATTAACTTCCTCTCCGCAATGGCAATTAAGTTTAACGTTCTATAAATAAATTTTTGACCCAACAACCAGGAGAAGAAATTTCTCCACGACCTCGCCCATGTGGAAAAATATCTGCAATGACAAGGACGCAACTCACACCTTGCGCACGCGGTTTCCCTACCAACTTTTGTCTCTTGCTTCGATCTCCTTGTCCTACACTCCGGGCTTAAGCAGTCCCAATCACAGGCAACTTCCCCTTTCTTCTGGACAAAGTACTATAGTAGCTATCGCCACGAGCAAATGCCTCTTCTATCGATCGCAGCAGCGTGGTTATGGAGAGCGAATCGGCAAATCGACAGCCAAATCCCCTTATCTTTTCCATCGGATATTTGATTCCTGCATGGCGAATGGGACAGGTTATCCTTAAGTGTGCTGCATCCTAACCAACCCTTCCCCGCCCGACCATTTATCACAGGATGCATATGCTGAATTAAGGGAGCATAGCTCATTTTCTCTCTGACCATACGGCGGGCATACTGTTGAATCTGTCCCCCTAAATTTCCCGGTGGTGAGGCCCTGTCATATGGTATACCATTTTCTCCTTCTCCTATTGAGCTCGGAATATTCTGAAAAAGTTTAGTCGTGCAATATTGTGCTTTATGATTTGGAACCTAAAAGGAAGAAAGGCCGACACCGTTCGTTGGTCATTTATCCGTAAATCCTAAAGCACAACTCTCGCATGCTAAGGCAAGATTGGATGACGGGTACAGCAAAAAAGCGCATACCTTGCACATATAACATAGTTGGCAGACGTCAATAAAGCTATTACTTGTACATCTGTACCTGTGGCGGCTCAATCAAGCTTTAGAATAGTTGATAGAAGTAATTGTTTGTGAAAAAATGATTGCTGGAAAGTTAACATAACGACATATCTGTAAGTTCATGAGCAAAGCACCTAGGAAGGCAGGCAGGCAGGCATATATGGATGGGCCGGAGGATCGAAAATGAAATTTAAAAGAAAAGTGCAGGCAAAAGCATGGAAGAGAAAGCAAGAGCGGAAGAAAATGCCATTGAGTAAATAAGGCCAGAAATATTTCGGGCTATTCGGCGCACCTCTATCACATTGCTCCCCAGGCCTCACCGAATAACCTTGATGCTAGAAGTTTTTGTTGAATAATGGATTTCTTTCAAGATAGGTTATGCCATTGAACCACGGATGGCATTCATCTCACCAGATAGAATCATGATCAATTTCAGCTCCCCGTTAGAATAAGCTGAGTGACATGGGGAAGAAAAGCAGCAAAATGAAGAAAAGCTTGCATGCCATCCTTTTATCCCGGGAAGGGGAAGAGCAGGAGAGAGGAAGAAGCAGGGCCTTTCAAAAGGAATGACCCGGCAGTATCGTTGTCCGATGCCGTCCCCTATATTTCTGAGGAATTAACTGAGGAAATTCTAGAAGGAATTCGCTGGGAAGTAGAGTTTTATTGAAACGCGTGCTATGGCATATGGTATAGTAAGTTGCTAGTATATTTTCAAGAAGAAAATGTTGTTCAAGATAAGGGGCCCTACGGCCAAACGCGAGATAAAAGGGGGGGCTTTTTCTTTTGTTTCTAAGTTTAAAAGTTATAAAAAGTAGCTATATACCTGTGGTAGATATATATATATATATCATGGTCTGAAGGAGGTACAGCACATGCGTATCTAACTATATCATTAGCACACGCCACATCGCCCTGCTTCAAAGCTTCATCAATTTCCTTTGTTTCGCCTCCTTCCATTCTCCTTTTCCTGTTAGTTGTGTCAGGATATAAGCATAAAATACCCAACAGATGAACAGTACTATGATGCTACTGTAGTCAACCGAATTTTGAACCAACGGCGACATAATTTCCCGTAACTTAGAAGACGTGGACAAAAGAAAGACGTGCTTTCCTTCCAATGGATGGCCGCATGCTCTTGTTAACGAGGTGTCCCTTGGGCAATAGGTCTTTTCCCAGAGAAAGCGCAGGGTGGGCGAGGATAACTGAGAAGTTCTCTCAGCGTTTCTTAGTTCTCAAACGTTTTTGGTGAAGCTAATCTTATTTTCCCCTCCTCTGGCGGAGAGTGATGAAATCGGAGGAAAAAAAAAGAACAGCTTCGGAAATCCGCAGAAAGCATGCTGTGTGCAATATGATGCAAAGATCCATGTAACCATGGACATTTTCCGTTTTGAGTCAGGGATTTTGACGTTCCTGGCAATGGCTTGGGTATGCGAACCAGTCTTAGCTCAAATCAGCGGACCGGCTACCGCCACGGCCGATTCTGTTAATTCCAACTCTTATCACCCTTTCTCGCCAAATATATTTTAGCGGTATCCTGTTTGATTGGAAGAGGAGAGACATGCAGGTCATATACAGTTTAGTGGCAAATACGGCGCGCTGTACCAAAATTTCATCCCGCAGAGCTTGGCTTCGGCATTTCGTCCTCCACGCTCCAGGGGATGATTGGTCGGCTTGTTCAAGTCCAACTCCTGCACTTAATCTTGAAGATGGGATCTGAGTGGCGCAAACGGGCCCTAGAGGCAAGGCCCTTTTCAGGGCCATCGAGGGGAGGGGAAAGAGTATTGTTCGCATGTTGCCAGGAAGGAGGAGGGGCTTTCACCTCCCAGGGATGTCGACTCGCTCTTGAATGGCTGTGTGTGGCCGGTTTCACCATTCACCACGCGCTTGAGTTTAAGCTCTTTGTATGCATTATTTAGCCGGGCTGGCCAGGCCCAGCCAGGAATTTGAATGGAGTGGGTGAGAGGGGATGCAAAGTCATATTTCCTCAGTCCAACTTCCATTCAATGCCCTCCTCAACAAACGCGTTTGGCCGGACGGGGCACACGCATCCGTGGACAGGCATGGTGAGCGTTTTCGTCATTTGCTATGACCTGAGTACGCCTGGATTATTTCATGCAGAAGAATGGGCAAATGTCATGCAGCGATGTGGGTGGACCGTGGAGAGATTAGACTGAAGCACACTTCAAGCAACAAGTGCAATCAAGGTTTTCGGTATTCCTGTCCTGCATCGTGCATGAGCTCATTATTATTAGAGCTCATTATTATTACTGTGTAAAGGCCCGATCAATGGTTGCCCTTGGTTCTGCAGGCAGTATTTTCATTTCAACTGTTGACGCATCACTTGAGCCCTTCCTAGGCCAAAACCTAGCTGTTTTCCCAATATGTTCATGCTGTTTCAAACCATAAACGCCAACTTGGATCAGCTGGCTGCGGGCCACGGACTTCTGGTTGAATAACTCCGATAAAAATAAAGAGCACATGGATCTCCGCGAACGCACAGTACATGAGTTGCATTTTGAGAAGAAGTGAACCGGTCACTGGTGTTTATCTGGTTAACCATCCTGGCGCTGGCTGCCCGGACTGTGGTTATTCGTTATCACTGCATATTATTATGTTACTATTAGCTTTCATTCCAAGAACTAGATCTGTACGTTGATGGTAGCTTGACTCTGTTTTGGCTCCGTTTGGTGGGGTTTGTAAATCGTATCTGCGCGTAGCTGACTGTATGTACTGTACCAGAGCTTTGATGTTTCACGGAAGCTGGATTTAGGCTCATTGGACTGGAATGGACCTGGTGGAAGTGGATGATAATAACGAACCTAGGCCTCCGAGTTCCATCCCAAGTTCCATCAAAAGGAGCGGTGATGCTAATTCAATAATACGCACAAGTATTCTGCCCCGCCCCTTGCTCTCCATCCTTATCTGGAGCTCAGACATTCAGCAAGGTTTCGATGGCCAGTCGATCATCCAATCACCCCGGCTAACACGCTCGACTCCCATTGCAGCCTCTGCAAACGGCGTCGAGAGGTACCCGTCTCTTGCCGCGATCCTTCAAATCCGCCCTAGACCCAAAGGAGCGCTCTAGACGGATCGCATTTGGTCCATAATACCCTGCAAGGCGAAGGCTTGGTGAGCAAATTTTCAGCAGGCTGAGGCGTGCAAAATAATAATGAAACGGCCCAAATCCAGGGTTGACGGAATATTATTGAAGAAACGTGCTGGGATTTTTGCCCCCACCCACTCGACCCAGGTCTTTTGCTAACATACGTTGTTATCCACGTGATGGATGCCTTTACTCCCAAAGGTACGATAGCGTGCTACACGTCGAGAGAAGGTCCATGCTTCTTTGATATTGTAGGCTAATATAGGGCCTATCAGCCGGCTACGGTCAATACCTTGCGCATTCTTTCATCGGCGTCCCTCAAGTCACCCGTCTAGACGAGCACCGTGTATTGAAAGAGAGCCGACATGACCGTCGCGAAATCGATACCATGCGGTTTATTGCGGACAACACAAGCATCCCCGTGCCAAAAATCTACAACACCAGGTTTGATGAGGAGAAGCACATCTCGTACATCGTGATGGAGTACATAGACGGTGAACCGCTGAACAAAGCGTGGGCGGATTTAAACCGTGATCAGAGAATATCCACCTGTCATCAACTAGCTGAATACCTCACCCAACTGCAAATGTTAACGGGCGAGCGAATTGAAGCCATGAACAGCTCGACTGTCCGCGTCGGCCTGACCGAGTCACGTTGGGGGGGGCCTTTCGACAGCGAAAAGGAGTTTAATTACTTCCTGACGCAAGGTGTTCAGCGGCATGATCTAACTGACAATCATGCGATCCATTTTGCCCATGGCAATCTAAATCCCAGGAATATCATGGTCAACAAGCGCGGCCGTATCACTGCCATACTTGACTGGGAGTGGGCTGGGTGGTTCCCACAGTACTGGGATGTTGTCCGAATGCTCTTGGATATCCCGGGGAAGAGGCAGATGCCAAATTATGCTGAGCATCTTCAGGTGACTTTGCCATACTTGTACAAGGAAGAATATTTGGCAATGCTGGATGTGTTTGGATTAAAATCTTCAGGTCCTCGTGCAACTCCTCTTCATGCCACCTCTCGTTCCATGTAATATCCTTCCCTTGTTCCTAGCCTATTGTCTTCTTTCCATTTTTCCATTTCTTTTTCCTCTTCTTTGTTTTCCATTTCATTTCATTTTTTTCATTTTTCAATTTTTTTTTAATGATGCGAGCCGTGAGATTTAAGCGGGTTAAGTCCCTTGCAAGTTTCTTATTTAGTCAAAAGCATTGGCGCGTGAAGCCAACTCATGATTTTGGCTTCAAGTTGGCACTGTGTGTTTGTTTCCCAGCAGCGAACACTACAGATCAAAATATATATCCAGGGGTGGGCAGTTGATTATGGTTTTAGAAAATTAAGCAGCGTTTAAATTTTCGACAGAAGTTCGTAGCGGGATTATAAGATTCAAATCAGAGCATCCTCTCTAAAAATACAGCATGAAAGATGACTCTATTTAGCTGGTCTACTCCGTAGATGATGTTGTATATATTTCCCAGGTCCAGCCATCCTTTGATAATTACATGAATCAACCCCCACGGCCGCCACGACCACAACATTTTGGTCCCAGTCATCTATTTTTCCTGAAGGAAGCAAAGGGATTGCTTTAGCGAATTTCCGGAGCAAAGCATCAACACGCTCTCTCTCCGCCCGCCCTCCCTCCTGGCCGATTCCAAGCCTACATTGGATGGATGAGCACGTTTTAAATGAACCAAAGAGCCTGAACATTCACTTAACTTTAACAGAAACGATACTCTGGCCTTAGCTCCGGAGAAACTTGAGATTCTGGAAGTGACAGGTCGCCCTTTCACCCTCGAGTGCAGGGACATTCATGCTGGAATTGCTAGGCGTTGCTAGGGGCGATGGTGGCACGTCCAATAAGAGGAGACAGAATCACAAGTGTCAAGAATCGAAGATGCTGGACTTGCCTTGCATATTCAGGAGGCTTAATGGCAAAATTCCTTGAACCGTGGCTTGAAGCTGCATTGACCAATAAGATCGCGATCAGAATTTTGTAGGCGTGCCCCGCGAAGTCGGTCTAGGGAGCTGTATTGTGGCAAAGCTGATCACTTGGAGGTCGCCAGCTCAAATCCTAAAAATATACAGCTGGTATTTTGTCCTAAGGAGGCACAGCAGAGCAGCATCATAGAAATGTATCTACTTTGGGCATGTTAGCATTGGAAGAAAAGACGTTACCTAGGTAGCTTCGCGATGTAAAGCTTCAACACGTGACCTCAATCTAGATGGATCTATACAACGGAGAGGAGGTTATCTATGCGGTATCTAAGGAGCAAATAGACATTTCATGGGAGATCGCCGAGCGAATAATTCATTCAAGTCACTGGGAGCCTATAGTCCCTTAAAATCTTCTCTAAATCGTATCAGGAAAGGAGAAATGACATGTCAGGCTGCCGATGTGTAATGTATACTCCCTTCTTCCACCAAAATCGAATAGTACTAGCATTGAGCCCAGCAATATGACTCAAACTAGTTAAGATACCCTCCCGTCTGCTTACCAGGGATTACTCATATCTCATGGCGCAGAGCCGCCATTTCACGATTTACAAGTATTAGAGTCGACGAGGGTACACCAAGCTGCAGAGCGAGAGCATCAAACGTTTGAATGGAGTTGTACTTGAACTCAGATCTCGCAAGAGGTCTACGATTTGGTGGCGATGATCGGGCAATGTTGGCAAGTCATCCAGTGACGGCAGCAAGAAAACCGCATGATGAGCTATGAGCGATTGGACATTTTGAATTCGCTACTTGCGATCAGGCCGCGAATATCTGTAGCTTCCGATCCACGCTACCCGTGGCGATAACGCAACGGATTTGTATATCAGGAGATTTTGATGTTTCCTTGATCTCGCTAGATTCCCCCTTGGCAGTGTTGCTAGGTATAGCTGGTACATCCTTGGCAACTCCTGGGGCCCAACTCAGGCAGGTTACAAAACGGTCGTGGGCATCTTTGATTGTTTTCACACATTTTCCTTCTTGGCTCAGGTCCCAGCAACGCAATGTCCTGTCATCGGACACTGAGAGGAGGTATTTCCCTGCTGGATGAAAGACAATCCCCCGTACCCAGTTGTCATGGCCAATGAGGGTCATCAGACAAGTTCCCCGAACATCCCAGACTTTGATAGTCTTGTCTCGTGACCCTGTCGCCATAAATTCTGCTGCACTCTTTGGATATGAAGGCCCTTTCAGACCAGCAACTGGTGCAAGGTATTGGTATGAGGTAGGAGGAGCAAGTGCGCAACATTCAATGAAGTGCTCATGACCGGCCATGGTCACCTTGTTTTCCGGATTCGGGATAGCGGAAATATCCCATAGCCGAGCAGTCATGTCATCACCGCTTGAAAAAAGAAAATTTCCATCAAAGGATGGGCAAACATCCCGTACCCAGCCAGTGTGGCCTTGTATTGACCTTACACAATATCCCGTAGTTACGTCCCATATCCTTACGTCCTTGTCCCTGCTTGCACTGGCAAGCAAATTTCTGCACGGTATAAAACGGACTGCACTGACGCTATGATCATGGCCTAATAAAGTCCGAACGTTCTTGTATCCTTCGGCTGGGTCCCACAGTTTGACAGATAAATCAGAACTACAGGACGCCAGCATAGTAATTCCTTGAGGGGAGCCGTAGTCAACATCAAGTACAGCTCTAGTGTGGCCCTTGAGTGTCATCTCTAATTCTCCGAGTTCCCAATCCCATATTTTGATCGTGAAATCGTCCGAGCCGGAAGCAAGGGACGAAAATTTTGGATGGAAAGCAATGCAGTTTATAGTATCGCGGTGTGATTCGAGAGAGTATCGAGGGGGATGCGTAGGTAGCCAAGAGGTCGGATCTCGTCTGGGTTTGAGAAGGGAGGACGGTGTGAGATTATCCAGTTCGGATTGCAGGGCGGCATTTCGAGCTTCAAGGTCCATTATCTGTGAAAACATTAGTCACCGCTGTGACGTTGCATTTGTAGATATAATGAACCGAATGGGAATCTTCAACACAGACTTGCCTTTTTCTGTAAGCGGACAATGCTTGTCCATTTTTTCTCTAGTAAAGTTTCGTATTTCTTCACAGCAGTCGCATCGAAGTCTTCTTCCGTGAGATTCAACTCCGCCCTGAGTGCAGCAGCGGTATTTGGGAGGTCATTCGCCGAGAGGTATGCGATGATAGATTTGTGACTGAGCAATCTTAGCTTCAATCTGGGATATCATCACCAGAGCTCATCTACTAAGGCATATACGCACAGCTCATCAGCTTGTCGATTGGTTAATAAACGAGCCATACTGGGCAATAGTGCAATGGGCAAAGGAGAATCTAATTGCCGGAATCACTCTTTAACCCCTCGATCTCAATAACGCAAATCCAGCTAAGATTGCCAGATCACTGCGATACACAGAAACGGGGTGAGAAAACGTTCGCGTCTGTGGAGGAGATGTCTTTGACAGATGTTGAATCTCACCTTCTTTGGCGGGGAGCTAACTCCGTAAAAGCTGCCAAGACAATGGATATAGCCGCGCGTTTAAAACATTTTGATGATTAATAATCCCTTTTAGCCTCCAACATACATGTGAGCCTTGATCCTCCGCTGTTGTGCGCAGCCGCTCCCGAAGACTGTGATTTGCATGAAGTTCTTGATGTCTTCCTCTCTCGTGATATATCTTCACTACTGCATCTTCTTAAGTACTAGATTAATATGCTAGCCGACCGCCCGGGATTCCGGAGGTTCATTTCTTCGATGGCTTGACAGGCCGATCCCGAGAGGGATTTTACCAAGCGGGTGCGTTGGCCGAACGGAATATGCTCTGGATCATTGAGAACGTCCTCCTAGTTGCTGGAACCCCCTGGACCGTCTGGTGCAAGCGTTCTAATTGTTCCATAACTGCCACTGATATTATCCTTGCACCTGGAGATTACGACGTTCATAGTAGTGGCATGTTTTATGCAATACTCACCATCCATCTAATGCTAATCCCGCATTCTGATATTTCGCATGTGGACTCGTCGGGTTCACATAACACCTCTCCAGGTGACCAATGAACCTTGGACGGCATGTTTGATAAGCCGCAGTGGATCTGCTGCTATCCTTCATTTACCAAAGGGGTGTGTCGCCGGGATGGAAAATGTGGTATATCTGGGGGAAATCAGTCCATCAGCACATTACGGTATTTGGGCCCATTTGAAGCTGCCAACATTTTTCCACTGGAGTATGAGAACATCTGAATAGAACACAATTACGGGCGACGGATCACAGATATGGATGATGCTGTTGACATATCTAAAATCCACTCAGTTCAAAGCGGTTTCTTGACGGATGGGGTTCTAAATATACTTCTTAATCAGTATATATTTCCAGCAAATCCTGATGTATGTCTTTATTTCATTCAGAGATGTCCCAACTTTCATGCTAACAGAGTCAGGGTGGTTATAAAATTGTTTCTTTCATGAGGATGCTGGACTCAATGGCAGAATATTTTATCCTCTTTGTCGTGATCAGGAAGATCCCCATCGAGTTTCAGCTGAAATCCTGAAACAGCACTTTAGGCAAACAATTTTTGCCAATATACGAGGTGTGGGAGATCCTATATTTGAGCATGACTTCCCTCCTGGCACAGCTATGATAGAGACCTGGCGAGGAGAACCATATGGCAAGGAAAGATTCGAGATTGCATTAGCAACCAGACTGCAAGGATACTCGCGAAGTGAGCGCAGGAATATATAACTGTTTCTCTTCGGCCAAATTTCTATTCCATTGCGGCCAGGAAGCTAAGCCATCCGACGAACAATTAAAAATGATAAGAAAGTGAGGCGCTTGACTTTACTGCTGAAGATGGCGGCATCAAGGCAACGGCAATGACCATGAAGGAAACTTTATCCAATCCGCCGGACGAGTTCTGCTAATCTTATCCTGGATGCCGTGGCATTTAACCGACAGGTGGCCCTTCGCTTTTGCACGCTCGCTGATTGAGTTGAAAATTGCACTCATTCAGCTCTTCAATTCCGCGGACTCCCTCTCTGGTGGGCTTTCTCCAGGAAATGCAAAAAATTAGATGTACACATAGTACAGGATGATCCCCAAGAAAATGTGTGCGTGGAAAGCAAAGAAGTAAAAAAGAAAATAATAAATTAATTCGCTCCCCGCCCTCTCTTCTCTCTCACAAAATCCTGTTCTCCCCCTGACTATGTGCATACATACATAGAGATCTCTTCAGCACAGCACGTCCCCATGCCCGTCGGGAGACTCCGGGGGCGCAGGCGTTGCTTACACCCCTCCTGGGACGCTAAACAAATACATCCATACATACATACTCTCTAGCAAAAACCAAACCCTTCTCCTCACTTGCGATAATTCTACTATAAGCGCAACGTTTTCTGCCATCAAACGCGTGAAGCTTCCACACCGTCTACAGCCATGTCTTAACCACCCCTAAGAATAATTACGCAATTCCAATACCAGAGGCTCCCTCTTTGTACAATTTGCCGTTTGTACGCGAATAGCCTTCCCTTGCCGCGGGGTCCAGGGGGAGAGCAGACACTTTCTCGGCTCAGTTTAACAGTCCGGCATCGTGGCGACTCGTGCACAATCTCGCTAAGCTGGCAGCCGCCACTTTGGCACTTCTTGCTGCCGCCATAGATAGTTCCTAGGGCTGAGGTAGAGGTGGTGAAGACGCGAGAGTGGCGGAGCGGATTTTGAGAGGAGCGTTTTGGGTTTTGGGTTTTCTTCTTGTCGGATTGGTGATAGATCTCTGCTCTCCTTCCCGTGCGTGGCTGGTTGGCTGGTTCCAGTTGATATTTAGTGGTGAATACAGTTTTTGATTTCGAGATTCTTCATCAGGATAAGGGGGTGTCAAGCCACAAACGCTTCGATGCTGCTTTGATTCTGAATGTGCTAAATATTTCCCCAATGAGAGAGGATCTCGGTTTGTTGTATTTCCCTCTTTTCCCCTTTCTCTTCCCCCTTGATGAAGCATTGATCAAAATTATTCAACCAAGTTCTTATTGTAGAAACTATTCATACTCATCTTGCCATTTGCCTCACTGCTGCCTACTACAATCTATGAAGCAATCAATCGTTGGCACCTCCACCAGCAAGCCTGGGTAATTTCATAGCTAGGTGTTCAAGGTGCCTCAACACCGCAATACTTACGATGTTCCTGACTTGGTGGCTGGCATGTAAGAAACTCTCGTCCTTGACCCCAAGTGCTTCATACAAAAAATGTAGTTACTAATATCAATATCTTTTCTAAGCGGAAGCG